GCGCCCTTGTCTATAATTTGATTTGCCATTCGAATTTGCTTGTTGTTGTTGTTGTCGCTACCGCTGGTTCGTTTGCTGGTAGGGCATTCATTTGCATGCAAGCTCCTCAAGTTACAAATAACCTACCTTTCCTATACAAAGAAGCTGACAAGGTTGCCTCCTGGGATTGATTGAGTGGTCGTAGTATCAATTATTGCGGCTCTAGAGGTATACGGAATATTTTACAGCCATGTTTAGAGCTTTTCAATACACCTTATAATATTTACAATTAACCACCATACTTCTTTATCCCACTTTTATGCGCAAACAAAAATGAATCGGCCGCTATTTATCCTCGTCAACATCAAAATATGCTGACGACCTTAAAGATCTTTCCATTATAACTTATTAATTATAATGACTATTATGTAGACCATTAGCCGATCATGATAATTTCGTTTAATTGAATATAGCAGGCTTTGATTGTGTCGATGCTCGTTGACCCCTTCCTTGGCTGAAACTCAACTTAGCTCCTGCTTTTGTCATCACAATTACTGTGTAAATCATAACATATTAACTTTTTTCTCAATAGATGCACCTTCGGTTAATCAAACAACTCGGCAACTGCATCGGCCACGAAAGTTGCAGGTGTTGCAGTTACAAAACTGATTTTTTTGCCTTCTTCCCGTATCCCATCCAAACCGAAATTTGACAGTGCTTATATAAAAATGTGATGTCCATCAGGCGTGATCTGCTGGGTCTCAGAGAGATTTATGGCCGTCTCCATCCTCGCAGAGGATCCAGTCTTTGAAGACTCAGGTGTAGATTGACTACAAGTGCTCCAACTGCAGCGGAGCTACTTAGCGCTCCTTAAAAGAGGAAGTCTTGGACCCAAAGAGCTTTTTAGTTATGACAAACTAACAACGGCGTACAGTCGTTTAAGCTTACAAGCTTAACGATCCCAGTTCCAAATGGATTACGATTCACAGAATCACACACTAACTTGCCACTACTAATTAAACAAGAGTAAACGCCTTCACAAGGCTAACACTCTTACAACACATTACGTCTCGACGAAGCACTTGTGTCCAACGGTTCAAAAGGGGAAATGGACTTTATTTATTCTTTAGCACGACAACAAAACCCTAAAAAATTGTCTGACTGACTTCTGCATTACGTTCCCATGACAGAAGCCTGATCCCTTATCCATACCCGATAAGGTGCGGTATTACCTTAAGTACGTGGTACCAAGGCTTTACCACTCAGATCCACCGATCTTTACCTGGTGCGGACGCACAACATAGCCGGTGCAAATAATTGCGTTTAACCCCGCTTCAAGTGCACTGCACCCTGATGTGCAGTATGGCATCCTTTTGGATTTCTATCTTCGCTTTGCTCATATCATACGACAAAATTTAGCGTATGGCAGGTGGACCTAACTGCGGAATACAGCTCACGAATAAAGCGAGGCCGCCATGCTTAACTTCTGCACAAGGAAAACTACGAAGCAACAATCAATTGCATTAGACTGAGAACGGAGCTCGCCTAACGACCGTGTCGGCGGAGTCATCTGTAGTAGTGTCAAGAGGAAATTCACACCAGCTGATAGGCTTGAAAACAGGTACATGATCATTTTTGCTCATTACAGAAGTAGTTGATGTCGTGTGTTTCCTTGCCACGACAAAGAATAAGGTGATGAAGCATTTCGAGCAGTTTCTCGTCTACATTGAGAAACAATCTTAATTGACGAATTCATTGACTTTGCACAGATGGAGAAGTGGGTACAAGGTTGCAGACCATTTCTGTAGGAGTGAAGGTGTGCGTCGGCAAGCTTCGGAAGCTGATAATCAAGCTTCTAATGTGAAAGTAGAGCGAACGCACCATACCATTATGAACGTGGTACGTTTCGATGTATTCGGGTCTGGAACTCCACTTAGCTTTTAGGTGATGCAGCAGAATATGCAGCGTATATCTTGAATCGAAGCCCGACCCAAGGAATCATAAATCGCGCGTCGTCGATTAAGGTGCTGACGGGGGACAAGCCACGAATAACATGCATGTTTATTTGTGGGTCGCAGTGTACTGGTGTTTGAACACCGTAGCACAAGGCACTCTGCAACAGAGTTACACGGCAGGTATTGAACCGGCTACGTTTTGCGTCCGCACCAGGCAGAGATTGGTGGATCCGAGTGGTACAGTCTTGGTACCGCGTACTTAAGGTAATACCGCACCCTATCGGGTATGGATAAGGGATCAGGCTTCTGTCATGGGAACGTAATGCAGAAGTCAGTCAGACAATTTTTTAGGGTTTTGTTGTCGTGCTAAAGAATAAATAAAGTCCATTTCCCCTTTTGAACCGTTGGACACAAGTGCTTCGTCGAGACGTAATGTGTTGTAAGAGTGTTAGCCTTGTGAAGGCGTTTACTCTTGTTTAATTAGTAGTGGCAAGTTAGTGTGTGATTCTGTGAATCGTAATCCGTTTGGAACTGGGATCGTTAAGCTTGTAAGCTTAAACGACTGTACGCCGTTGTTAGTTTGTCATAACTAAAAAGCTCTTTGGGTCCAAGACTTCCTCTTTTAAGGAGCGCTAAATAGCTCCGCTACACCGCGCCTCCCGAAATAACAAATCCGGATGCGGCTTGTGAGGAGAGCGATGAGTTCGAAGTCAATAAAGTACTTAAGGGGCGTATTGACGACATGCAGGGGTGAATATTCACTTGACTTTTTCTGGCAAAGACCGTTCACCAACCCTCAGTATTCAGCGAACTTGTTCGTAGTGCGAACGGAACCGTATGCCATACTTGCATTTCACATGATGCACGCGACATGCGATAGATTGTAAATCTTCATAATCACAGATCCAGCTCCACCCCGTCCGGTGTTTCCTTGCAACGCTCCGTCGAAGAAGAGGAGGTAGAAAATGCATGAGATACTGTCACTGTGCAACAACCGCAGCGTTCTTCAAAGTAGTGTAAACACACAAGTGACAATCTACGCCCCACCTATTTATTTACGGAGATAAAAGGTGGAATGTGCACAGGTGCTCTACCCCGTAGGTATCCACGATGAAATTTTTGTAGCATTCTGATTCTACTGAACTTTTCTACCATTTTCGACAAACTTATCCTATTCTTCTCATCGGAGAAAAATTACAGAAAGTGATTAGTGCTTGTATTGAACTCGGCCAGCAAATTGAGCGACACTAGCATGACGAATGTCAATGCCAACGATGACAAGCTCTAAAAATGAACAATAGCACTCTTTAAATACATGTAGAAGTGTAAAAGCGCTGATGAAGTCGTATGAATAACAAAGAAGTCTTGTACCATGATACGAGATAATAAATGTACAATCATACCGGAGTTCCCAATCGGAGCTCGCCGCACCCACCCACGCCGACCCAAACATTTTGCCCAGATCATCACCGGATTTAAACTGCCCAAACAAGTCTCTTACTCTCTTACACCGTAATAAACAAAGCTCTGACAAATTATGGTACTAAATACAATAAGATTGCGACGTCGCACCCACCCACACTCATCCACCAATTTTCGGTCGCACCCATGACCATAAAAAACCATGGGCGTGGGCATGGACGTGGCCTTCCAATTTGAGACTGATTTATACTCTACATCCTTGTTGTTTACGTCACACAAATTTTCCCCAAAACTATAGCAAAAAGGCAGAATATACGCCTCGGACGGAGTTTATCATTCAGTGACATGGGTAATGTTAGACGATCTTGATCGAATGGAAGCAAGTTGTAGACCTACTAACAAAGAACTCGTTCAGCATTTTTTCCCCTTTCATTATCGTGTAAAAACATATTTCTGGACAATCGAGATCGTGGTCTAGTCAGTAGTTAAAGCAGATCATTTCTATCTGATCTGACAAGAAGACTCAGCAACATCTTGTGATTGAGACGCTGAAGAATACTCACCGCGCACTCAGTCTCATCCAGGTGGGGAAGGAAGATGTAAGGATGTCCAGTTCATGAACAAAAATAGGTCCATGATAACAAGCGCGTTCATTGTAAATGCGTACTTCAGGAATGGGTACTTGGGCAACCCTTTTCCGACACTTGTGAAATTTGCAAATTCGCGTGGTGCCCAGCATGTTCCAAGAAGTTAGTAAAAGTTTTATGTGTGCATTTAACATCGTGCAAACGCGATGCTCTATGCACCCAGTGCTTTCCAGAAACTCATAAAAGCTACCATTGTCGAGCATTTTGTACTTGTACATCCTGGTGTGTACTTTGGCGGCACACCTTACTTTCGAAGCTTTGATGGTTAACAGAACTTACGCTCGGAAAATGAGGTGTAGCTAGGATTTATGCAACATACGGAGTGGCCGATTGCTATAACCCAATGTAAACAAGGTCTGTGCGCATGCTGGTCGGTGTGAATGATGACAGGGCAACTTTAAAATGAGGAATGCTAGCATCTAGTCTCTGGATCAGCAATCTTGATCAACACTTAGAAATCTTTAACTAATATCGACTTCTACATAGAGACACACAGAACCGCGGCTCGCTTTCCAAGGCGTTATTATCAATGTTCACAACGGCGACTTGGCAATTCCCTACTGCTTTTCTCGAGATAGACGCCGCGCATGTCAATATTTATCGCTTGTTTACCCATCAAATAGCATCGCTTCATCGATTACTAATTTATCTTATGATGGAAAAACGAAGTTATGCGCCTTCATCGCTTAGCTCTTGCCTCAGTGCTGAGTGCATGCCCTTCAAATGTCATCTTTCTACTAGCCTACGACCGTCCATCGAGAGTTCATTGATACCGGTACCACGCTATACCGGTTGTACTACCGCCATCGGACAAATGTCATCCATGTCGCTCGAATGTTGTGCATCATGTCTTCTTTTTTGGCGGGAGGAAAATCAAATGTGACTTTGAATTCCAGTTTAAATTCCACCAATCCAAGGCGTTGGCGCGCCATTGTAAAGGGTTGTTGGCGCCATTTGGTCGTACCGTTTTGTAGCTCCTGACGTTGAACTTCTCCTAATGGCAGCGAAAGAGATGATCAGTCCGCTCCGTTGCAAGCGGCCACTAGAGCGACCATCCCCTGGAAGTATTCGTACTACCAATGCGCGCATTAGTATCCAGCCAAGCCCTAACCGCACAGAAGCCGCAACCGCAATGATGCATTTGCTCTCAGGCAACAACGGCATAGAAGGCGAAGCAAGCTCAGGCCTTCAGTCCACCAAAGTAAAGCAAGATTGTCCACATCGAGAGGCAAAGAAGGCGAGAAAGTCATTCAAGCGACAGATGAAGACGGTGTGGATGGAAGCAACAGGCACGGCAGCGATGACGAAGATTCCTGTGGAAAACGCCAAAGCAGAGATCGATGGTCAGACGCCAGAGAAGGGAGAGATGTGTATGGGAATGAAAGCATCGAGGTTGAACGGAGACCAGATTGGATTCTTTTCCTTTCAAGAGTACAATCGGAAGGAGAAATCGCTGGGATTGCTCTGTGAGAAGTACGAGGAGGTAGTTGAGATCGCGCTATAGTGACACTCCTGACTTGTTCCTCTGTTGAATGTGCTGTTAGTTTTCTGCGATTGTACCAGGATGACAGTATTTCAGAAATCTGTTTGGATCAAGCCGCGCTGGAACTAGGTGTTGAACGAAGACGCATCTACGATATCGTGAACATTCTAGAGAGCATTCACCTCGTGAGTCGGAAGAGTAAGAATTTGTACAATTGGCACGGACTCGTATCACTCCCGACATCCATCAGCACAATGAAGGTATGTAGCATGTTTACCTGATAGTGATTAATAGCGTGTCAGAGTTGTCATTCTTCTGTGGGAGTGATGGACAGTTCGAAATGAAGCAACGGTACGCTAGTGTACAACAATCGTCCGTGTTCGACGCGCGCGGGCAAGATTACTCTGCAGTCAAACGTAAGCAGCAAACCGGTGGTTCCAGTCCGGATGCATTTGTAGAAAGGAGCTAACCACAAAACCCTTCGACGTAATTCAGACGACCGACGGAGAGGCAAGTCGTTATCAAAGCTGAGTCAAATGTTTGTCCAGCTGTTCCTCGGAAAGGTACGTTGTGTTTTTCGAGTGACCAAGAACACGAGACTTATACTTGAAATACTGGCTACAGGAAGACTGCATTATTCCACTAGATCAAGCTGCCAAGCAGCTCATTCAAATGGAAGACAGCGAAAGCGAAGAGGATGGTCTTTTGAAAAGTGCGACGTTATCTATTCATTTCATGTCTTGTCGCTTGCGTTCACGCTGCCTTGTGTATCTTCATGTGACAGCCAAGATTCGCCGACTCTATGACGTGGCCAATGTTCTGGTAAGCGTTGGGTTGATCGAGAAGCTACAGCTATCCAACTCTCGCAAACCCGTTTTTCGCTGGAAAATGTGTAGCACTGCACCAGTTTCCACACGTTCGGAAGCTACTTCTGCGCACAACGGAGACAATAAGCAGGAAACGCCGATCCAGCATATCACCGACAGCACTGTCGAAGTGAAGACTGAAGTGGATTCTTCTGGCGCTAAAGTCAATCACTGTGCCGTCGGGCATGCTACAAAGTCGTGCGGTAACTACATGTCGGATGATTGCAGCGACTCTCTCTCCGATCTCAATCGCTGCAGTTTAAAGAAAAATCAAAATGGTCAAGATGGGAGTGACATTAGCACCTCGGACGGCGAGGCATTGAACAAGCGCAATCGTCAAAGCGTGAGGACCGAAGGCATGGACGATCCCTGTTCTCAATCTGTGAGCGGAGACAGCATTGGGTTGCTTCTACGATTGGATGCCAACAACGAACCCGTCCACCCTCAAGTCGTTCTCTGTGAACAGCAAGCACAAGTGAAGCGCTACATGCAGCGCTACATTCGTGAGTACGTCGACTACATGACTGCGCACCCGGAGCTTGCCAATCACACTTGCCGTACAACCGGGACCGAAGCAAGAGGTGACGTGCTTCCTCCTTCAGTGTCCAAGCCAACCAATGTTATTACTGCCAGCTCAAAAGATGGCCCAAGTACCCTCGTCAGCCTCCCGTTTCGTGCTGGAAACGCCCAGGACTCGCTCTTGCTAGAAAGTCCCCAATCGGTAATCAACCTCGACACAGCTCAAGTTGCAAGTCCCCAGCACGCGAAGCGTCTCAGAATGTCTTCAGTTGCCGACTCGTAGCAGCAGCTCAAGATCCCGAGTCCATCGTCGATGTCAAATGACGAGCTGGTTGGTCGGCAGCTACTGACCTCCTTTCTAGACTCAGATTTCTGGCTGGTAACTTGTGAATCAACGCGTACACAACCGTCAGTATCGTGTGCGTGGCCGACCTGAGATCCGGATATGCTGACAACCAACCAGAAGACGGAAGGGCGATCGAAACAGTCAGTGGGCAAGACAAGATCCGACAACTGATGCAGGAAGCCAAGCAGAAGTCCGCCGACGCGGCTGCGTCTCGACCGAAGACGGTGAACAAGAGCACGACAACTCCATTAGCTGCGAAGTCCGTCGCTTCTGTGAATAACAACGCGCCAACGCGGACGCCAGCGATCCCCGTGGGCTTCTTCGATGACTCGGTCGCTGACGCCAAAGCGCGGCACGTGGACGTGCAGCAACTGGCCGAGAAGCAGCTCGAGTCGGACTGGGAGGCATTCCAGGAGTTTGCTGCGGAGGTGGAGCAGGAATCAGCCAAGGAGGAGCTCGTGCAAAAGCAGGAGACGAAGGAGCGTGAGGCGGTCGAGGAGCTCGAGAACATGCAGTACGTGGACAGATACCGCGTGGCTCTCGAGCGTGTCACCAGTCTTCGCAATGGGGAGAAGAAGAGCAGGACCGACAAGAGGAAAGCGGTGAGCTCGAGTCCTCACGTCCTTGAAGAAAAAGACGACGACGACGATATCGAGGCGCTTGACGCCGGAAGAGTTGAATCGGCAGTGCTCGAGTTGAGGAAGAAGAAGAGGAAGACAAGCGACAATCAGCAGCAGCAGCAGACGGACAGCGACGACTCGAGCGAGCTGTGTAACTGGAGATCTCGTGGCTTCTAAGCAAAGCAATTGACAGACACGGAGAGAGAGAGAGAGAAAGAGACAGACGGATAGACCACGTCGCTGGTCAGCATGACGCACCGCTTTACGAATGAATATTGAGCACTTGTGGCTCGCGCTTTATTCTTGAGAATGGATGGACGATTGCGTGCCCGTCTAGACGAGATTGACGATCGCGTACAAAATAGCGCCGCAGCCAATCATCAAAACGGGCGTGTCCATCGTGTGGGGAGCCGTGGCTTCAGCATACGCCATCGTCGGCGCAAGGATCAGCATCGACAGCAGCACTTGCCAAAAGTTGTCAAACGCCGCGTACTGCAGCGCAGGAAACACGAGGCCAGACACAAAGACACAAGCGCTGCCTTCCCAGCTCCGCGTGTACTTGTTGGTCGAGAAACAGCTGCGCGTCTTGTACTTGTGACGGCCCCACGTGATGCCCACGGGTTCGGCCAAGCCGTCGCCAATGCCCGTGATAAACACGAGAATGAACGTCAGCGCGCCGTGCGCCGCAAAGAGCCACTTGAAGAACATGAGGATGAACATGCCGGGCGCAATGTTGCCCACGATGATCCACTTGAGCGTGTTCGGTCGGTCTTCTGGCCGGTCGAGGGAATTAAACTGCAGCATGAAAAACCGCGAGTGTTCGCGGATCGGTTTGATCAGCACGAGGAAGCCCAGCATGGTGAAGAAATCGCCCCAGGCCAAAGCCAACGGACCGGCGTGGTCGGCTTTGATCACGAGCGGCACCATGTACGCGGCAAAGTGCTGCAGTTTGCGCGTGTAGTTGACTTTAAACTTGGACGACTTGTTCGTCATGATGTAGCCCTTGTCGTCGACGTCACAAAAGCAGCGACAGATGATCCCTCCAATGAGTGACACCGCCATCATCACCACGAGTTTCGGCAATTGCATGAGCCAGAACCGCGGCTCCGTGAGCCACTCGCGCTCGTACTCGACCGTGAGCACGAGCATCACGACGCCGTAGACGCCCATGCCCACGAGAAAGGCAAAGTCAAAGGTCGAGGACCAGTGCGCCTTGTAGTCGCCGGCTACTTCGCCCTCCTCGACGAGCGACGTCTTGATCCCCGTGAGCGGCTGGGGATCGGTCGCGCTGCTGGTGGTGGTGGTGGCGCCATACCCGGGGACGGCGGAGCGCCTGGGGAGGGGTGTGGGGACGCGCCACACGAGGCGCAGCATGACGTAGCACAGGACGAGCGCCGCTACGGGCAGCACGGCGATCGTGACGCCTTCGATCATGGTCATGGACTCGGGCCACTCGAGAGGCGCTGGCGGTGGTCCCGTGGACGCGATGGCAGGTGCGTCCGCCATCGTGGTAGGAGTGGGGCTTGACGAGGACGGAAATGGGTTCAATGGACCGCGTGCGTCGAGTGGAGGAAAGTCAGGAATGACGGTCACTCACTCACACACAGACACTGAGGGTGGAAGATGCGGCGGGATCTTGGCTACTTAGACGAGAGACGCAGGGCAAGGTCGGGCGGGGGATGAGGGGGATAGTTAAGTGAGAGTGCTAGGAGTCCTGTCATCAATGCGGTTGTGGTGGACCACTTGATCGCGCGTCGTGGTTGCGTTTTCTGTTTGGGAGGTGGATACTTTGGGGGATCAGGAAAGCGCAAATCGGTTGGTTAACACGGACGCATGAGTTTTGCCTCGACTGGCTGTCACACGAATCAATTCGCGCGATTGACTCGTGGACATGAGAGACGGAAGAGACGGGGCCATCGTTTACAGATGGTTCGCGGGCAGTTTCTCGACACACAGTTTTGTGACACTCGAAGGGAAAAGGTTTTGCGTAGACAAGAGTAGCAGTGTCTGGATGGACGACGCTTCCCGCCGTCTTTCCATTACTTTAACTACGATCATATGCAGAGATCGATGTCAAGCCTCTACGTTGACGTTCCAACCAGATCGGACACCAAATTCGCTTAACTTCCAGGACCTTCCGAGTCATAAAAAGCTTAAAGATGTCGGTTTCTCGACAACAAAAGGTATGCGATCGAGTGACCTTGTGCGGCGTCACTCGCTAAGAATGCAAATCCATGCCATTGACGTGAGAATTGACGTGTCGACAGCATTCACCAGATGTCCTGCTGGAATCGAGTGAGAATATTCTTGCAGACGGTATCGGTCTTATCGTTGGACTAAAAAAGTACGAAACAGTGTTGTTTTACTGAGACGAAGACGGTAGCGCATCTACTTTTTCCCTCGGCTCTACACTGCCACATTGGGACATGTATGCGTCCCCAAAAGTCGGCATATCCTAGTGTTTTCCAGGAATGATCGATCCAAAGTAAGTTTCACTGAGTTAGCACTCGACATGCGATAAGAAAGAGCCAGACGCACTAGCATCGGAGCAGTCAAAGCTGTTGATGTTGGTGTTGGCTGCCCGCGTAGCCTTCACGGCAGCATGTGTTATTGTATCCAGCAAGCAAACCGCATCTGAACAAATAGACCGCATGGGCTCATTTCAATACCTCCATGTGTAAAAATAGGCAGGTGTCTTCAGAACCGGGTAATGTGGCATACTGTCTTGCTCACACCAGGATCATAGTACTCAGCAGATAGACGTAGTCACCTTTTCTTCGCAATTAGAACTGCATGGGACCTCAGAACTCTGTCGTCGGTAGGCAAGGAAGTCCACTACAATAATGCAAGGCGCTACTGATTGTCTGATCGTGCTGGATTTTCTGTAAGAAATCACAAAACTTGAGCGGCATATGCGTAGAAAAAAGATCTGTAGCTCTCGTGTGCGACCGTTATTAAATTGATGCTCGTTGTGCAAGCCACTATCGTTATTCGTAAAGCTCGCCGTCTTATGGTCACCGCGGTTCGAGTTTTGCACGTGCGACCCTCACGAGTCGTCTTTGCAGGTCATATACACCAGAAGACGAGGGAATACTAGTGTTGCTAGTGTTGTGTATACTTTGATGTCACGAAACACTTGGACATTAGACAGCAATGCTAATGGCAAACGTGGTGGTCAGCACCTGTCTCAGTGGCCCATTTGAAGTATCAGTTGCGTCTGAGATGCGCGAATGACGCAGCTCAAGTTTGATGCGATAGATTTTCTGTGTTTTCTGGGATAGGTATACCTCTTAGGTATCACCTAGGTGAACCTCTCTCTCTTGAGAGAAAGACTAGATTTCTACCTGGGAGAAATTGACATGAACAAAACGTTGTCGCTGATAGATTTAATCATGATAAAAGTAGCTAATTTCTAATTATTCCATCTCGGAGAATAGGTCCATACATCTGATAGATTCCTAATCGTTGTGCTCATACGCCGGAAGCGACATGACAGCTGCTTTCTCGGCAAACAACTAAAGGTCATATCCCTCGTAATCTCGCTTTATGCTATTACCACCCACTCTGTCCAGCCAAAGAAAAGCATTTCCAATCCACAACTTTCTTCAAAAAGTAACCCTCTCCACGCCACCTCAATCTTGCCATCTGTCACAAATTCACACAAAAAGCGCATCTTTCATCGTCCCCGCCCCACCAGCAGCTCCACTCCCACTTCATCATCATCCCTCCTCTGGCCACCATGTCGTCGATTGCGCTACATGTCGCCCGCCGCATGCCCTTCACCACGACCCACCACCACCACCCAAAACTTATGCTACGGGCGCTCTCCAGCTCCACCCACAGCGCTGCTGGCTTCTCGTACCCCGGGGCCCGTTCCCTCGATCAACTCGTCAAGCTCGAGCTGCTGAAGTCCGAACCGCCGTGTGAAATCCGCCGCATCTGGAAGACCTTCCACGCCGACAAGCGCGACGCTGTGGCGACCACACTCGAAGCGTCGGAGTTCCATCACCTCACGGCACGAGCCGAAGCTGCGCCTTATTTGATCCTGCCCGTGTACCGGCGAGCAGGTTACTTCAACATGTTGAGCCAATTCCAGCAGTCGTGTTTCCTGGTCACGTACTTGGAAGCCTTCAAGGCAAATGCAAGCACGGCACCTCCTTGTGTAGCCATTTCGTTGTACGACCATTTGCTCAAGGACAAGGACTTGACGCTGATTCGTGCGGACGTGATCAACATGCTGGACAGAAACGAGTCGCAGCTCTTGATGCAGCAACTACTTGCTAGTTACCAGCACGACGAGATCTACGACCACGTGGACAAGTTTAACAACAAGCCGGACGCATTCGACTTTGAAGCGTATCGGCTGCTGCTAAAGGACAGCAGTGAGCAGCACTCGACAAAGGGGTAGACTCGACATAGTTGGGGGGAACAACATGGATCTCGTGGCTTAAAACATCTCTCGCTGACTCGCGAACTCTCTTGGCGCTTGCAATCAGGCATTACAGGTACCTATCATCTACAGATGCTGCTGCTGCTGCTTTCTTACTGCGGAGCTTTCTGCGCTGCCTGGGCCTCTTGTCTCTTGGCATGTTCCGCCTGGAAGAGCACAAGAGCTTGTTGCGTCGTCGCGTCCGCCTCAAGTCCCAAAGCCTGGTACTCGGGAGCGTAAGCTTGGGCGAATCCCTGAAGCGAGCTCAGGAAGAACTCCACCTCGTCCACCTCGTCTAGCAGACTGATGTAGTCGTCGTCACCCTCGTCATCATAGCTGAACTGGCCCTCGGCTTCCTCGCGTAACTGGCGAAGAATGGCATAGTACTGGTCGTCAACCACGTCCTCGGCATCTTCATCCGAGGCATAGCCACCGTTTTCCAGCAGCCCCTCGAGGTTCTCACCTTTTTCGTTGTCGCTATCGGCTTCCTCCCCATCTTCCAAGATACCGGCAGCTGGGTTCTGGATCGCATCGACAAGCACCTTCATGGCAGCCTGGATCAGCTGCTTAATGTGAGGGCGCAGAGCAGTCGGGATCTTGTCACCAGGAGCACGCAGAATCGACATTGTACCCAGCACGAACAGCTTGCGGTCTAGGTAGTTGTCGTATCGAGACAGGTCACTCAACCAGATCTTCAACACGCCGTCAGCAGCGCCGAGGGAATTGAGAGCGTCGAGGGTGAGCGCTGAATTGTAGTGCAGCAGACTGCTGAACACACCCAGCAAGTTGCGTGCGGTAGAGTCCACAAGTGGTTCTGCCAGCTTCGTGCACACCATGTGCGTGATGGGAGGAATGCACTCGTCCACCTTGCCAAAGAGGTTGTGCAGCAGCGAGTACAGCAGTCGGCAGGCCGCGCATAAGTCGACCTCCTGCACGCTTTCGCTTTCGAAGACGGTCTTGGCCATGTTGTACACAAGCTCCAGGTAACGCACGTTCGCTCCAGTGGCTGGATCAACGACAGAGCCCGAGAGAAAGCCGTCGATGTCACGACCCACGAAGTTGTCAATAACCGGTACGAAGTTCGTCAGGTAGTCCGATGCCCAGTCGTTGAAGCTCACAAAAACAAGCGGAAAGAGCTCCCAGAGTTGCGGTGCGATCTTCTGGCTGTAGAACGCCAGCGAGCCCAAGATATCGATGCCGCTCTCCATGTACTCGACAAAGTCGAGGTCGGTGAGAATCTTGCGAATCACCGGTGCAAGTGTAGGCACCATGAGAGCATACAGTTCCGGGTGGTTGTGTATGCTCATCAAAATGGTGTTGATCGCGTCAAGACACGACACCGCAGCAAGCGACGCGTCTTCATCTTCCTCAGCGACAGCAGTAAACTGTCCAAAGAACTCGACAAACTTAGCCACAAGCTGCAGCGAAAACGGCCCAATCTCTGATGAGAACCTGTCAATAATGTGCTCGAGAGCCACGACAACCTCGTCATTGCCTATTTCGTCCATGAGGCTGAAGAACTGCTCCAGGATCTGCGGTAGACGTGGGCGAAGCACCTCCACAACGGTGTCCGAGTGCGGGTACATCACGACGAAACGGATCGTCTTGGCGGCCTCAATACGAACAGGCAGCTCTGGGTCGAACATAGCATCGAGCATGCCATTGACAATGCGGATCAAAGTCTGCTCGTCCTTGAACTTGATCCCTTCAATATACTTGCGGGAGAAGATCTTGCAAGCACGCAGACGAAGGAAGCCGTGGGGGTTTGCAAATTCTGGCAGAATGTGCATAACAATCATTGATTCGACCTGGTCCTTGTGCGCCTTCGACTTCGTCAACACACCGTCCAGCGAGAACAGAGCGTGCAGAGCAGCGTCCTTTTGGATGTAATCCTTCTTGTCATCCGGAGCCGTAATGTACGTGTTCAAGATGTTGTTGTAAAACGACAACACGTTTGGCAAGCAATCCTTCCCGCGCTTTGTACACAAGTCAGCCAGCAGGTTCGACGCGGCGTACACAGGATCCAAAAAGTCTTCGAACACGTCGTTTGTCTTGCGCACAAACTCATGCGGGTCTTCCGCCCATAACTGCAGGTCTTTCGGCGTCAAACACAGCACCGGATGGATAACCTCGAACAGCAAGAAACCGAGGTGTGGCTTGATCAGCTTGTACGTGATAGCCGAGTCAACTGCCTCTTGCATAAACACAAGCGCGAGCTGCACCGCCCGATCCGTACAAAAACGTCCGTTTTTCCGCAACGCAAGAGTCTCAAGCACGCATGACAGGAGGCCTGGAGCAATCTGGTTGCGGTATACAGTGCTCATTTGCAAGTGCTCTTCCTCGGCCTTCTTCGGGTTACCATAGCGTGTATAGAAGCGGCAGAGTATTTGCAGCGCCCACTTCTTCAGTGTCCACCACGGCCAGTTGCCACGCTCTTCCTCATCAATTGGCTGTCCAGCAGGTTCGCCACCCTCGCTAGCTTCAGGCAATGGCTTGGCAATAATCACGCGGAAAATGTCCATCCACGCCACGACCAGCTCTGTCTGAGCCAGATACGGTGGCAAGCTCGTCTTGATACAGGACCAATAAGTCTTCAAAATGAGGTGCATCATCTGTGCCGCCTCGATCGAGTTGTTCGACTGCATCTGCACCATCATGTTCTGCAGCATGGGAAAGACGACCTCCACGAGCTTAAAAAGCGGACCCAGACGGTCATCAGCTCGATACTCAAAGTTCTTGACCACTCGACGTAGAGCCAGCAGTGCATTAATGATGCGATTGGCCTCACCGCTCTGAACATTTTTGCAAATGTCATCGACTAACGTCGGCCATGTCTCCTGCAGTCACCAAATAGCAGCAAAAAACCAGTAGAAACAATTACTTCCTTCAACACTGTACACATCATACTAGCTTGATCAACGTACCGGGAAGTCAAAACGCGCAATGTGCGCGACCGTTTCGGCCAAGAGCGAGCGAATACTCGAGTCCTGCGCTACAAGAAGCGCTTCAAGGGCGTTTTGGCGACCCAGTGCCTTGTCGGCGGGATTGATGATCTGAATCCACTTCCCGCCGGGCCCATCCGCGCCCTCCCAGTACTTTTGTACCAAGTTCTTGAGCGACACGGCGGCTGCCTGGCGGATCTCGCGCGTCACACTGGCCTCGACCGTGATCTGAACGAGCAGCTGCACGGAGCCAGGCACGGTGTGGAGACCCGCGACGGCTTCCTCTGCGGCTTTGCGCGCCACCTCGTCGTTGCTGAACGTGTGCAGTAGGATATTGTGGAGGCTGGCCACGTCCATGGTGAATCGGTCCCACTGAGCTCTTTTTGTCTGGTTAATGACGAGCGGATCGAATACGTACGGGCCACTGTTTTGAGAGGGACGGGTTTGAGGGAGAAAAAAGGGGCAATACGAGTCCAATGTGACGTACAAATAAGATAGGGATACCAATTTGACTGGCCTAGAGCAAGTCGGTGCAGGAGTGTCGCCCAGCCCTCGACTGGTGCCATGAGATGGCTTCATTTTTGTCCGTCAACGACGTACGGAGCAGATGGATACAATCGTCTGCAACCTTTACGATGATATTCTGCAGACACTGCATCTAATGCTGAAGACGCAACGTGGCTATGAGCAAAGACGATAAAATCAGTCGACGGTTGTAGCAAGCTTTCTATGACTTACATCCTCCACTGTCAGCACGGTTGACTGCAAGACGCGCCGCTGGTGACCATACCGCGAGCAATGCACACGAAACAACACTTGGGGGCGAAGCGTAAATATATGGAATCTCCGACTACACGAAGATCTAACTAAATCTCACCACTACAAATGCAAGCGAAAAGCGGAGCCACAGCAGCACAACGCTAGGAATCCGCATCAACTACCGCTCAACACAAACTTAGTCGACCTCCTCCATCGTGCTCTCCTCCTCGTCCTCGCCCTCAAGCGGCGGCAAGTCCTCCATCGCCTCGTCAACAGCTTCGTCATCGTCGTCAATGCTCAGGCCTAGCTTGATAAGACGGTGGATGCGGTTGGCGAACGTTGTAGGCTCATCCAGACTGAATCCAGACGTCAGCAGCGACGTGTCGTACAAAAGCCAGATCAAATCCTTCACCGTCTTGTCGCTCTTGTCAGCTTCGGCCTTCTCGCGCAGCGACTTGATAATCGGGTGCAGCGGGTTGATCTCCATCGTCTTCTTCGAAGACATGTACGACGAAGTGCTGCTGTCACGCAGGGCCTGCGCCTTCATGATACGCTCCATGTTTGCCGACCAGCCGTACTCGCCCGTGACCAATACACACGGCGATTCGACAATACGGTTCGAGATCTCCACCTTCTCGACCTTGTCGTCCAGGACCTCCTTCATCAACTTGCACAGTCCCTCCGTGGCAGCTTTGGCCTCCTCGAATGACTTCTTCTCATCTTCCGACTCCTCCATCTTGAGACCCTCCTTGGTGGCACAGATCAGCTTCTTGCCCTCGTACTCCTTCAGCTGCTGCACAGCGTACTCATCAATGGCATCCACCATAAACAGCACTTCATACCCCTTCTTCTTGAGCTTCTCGATGAACGGCGAGTTCTCCACCGCCTTCTTGCTCTCGCCCGTCACGTAGTAAATACCAGGCTGACTCTCCGGCATGCGCGTAATGTAGTCATCAAGCGACGTCAACTCTTCGCCAGACTTGGTCGAGTGGTAGCGCAGAAGCTTGGCAATCTTCGTACGGTTCGTCGAGTCCTCGTGGATGCCCAGCTTCAGGTTCTTGCTGAACGCCTCGTAGAACTTGGTGTACTTCTCGTTGTCCTCGGCAAGCTCAGCGAACATCTCCAGACACTTCTTGATCAAGTTCTTCTTAATCACACGCAGAATCTTGTTCTGCTGCAGCGTCTCACGCGAAATGTTCAGCGGCAAGTCCTCCGAGTCGACCACACCCTTGACGAACGAAAGGTACTCGGGCATCAAGTCCTCGCAGTTGTCCATAATGAACACGCGACGCACGTACAGCTTGATGTTGTTCAGTTTCTTCTTGGCGCCTCCTTCAAACATGTCAAACGGCGCGCGCTTGGGCGTGAACAAACACGCTTTGAACTCCAGCTGGCCTTCCACCGAAAAGTGCTTGACCGCCGCGTGCTCCTCCCAGTCGTTAGTCAACGACTTGTAGAACGACGCATACTCTTCGTGGGTCACGTCTTCCGGTTTGCGCATCCAGATCGGCTTCTGGCTGTTCAAGTGGTTCCACTCGTGCGTCACCTCCTTAATCTTCTTCGTCTTCTTCTTCTTCTCACCCTCCTCCTCGTCCTCAACTTCCTCCACCTTGGGCTTGTCCTCCTCGCCCTCCTTCTCGTCCTCCTCCTCCTCGTCGTCCGTCACCTCCTTCTCCTCCGTCTTCTCCACATACAGCTTGATCGGAAAGCCAATAAACTCAGAGTGCTTCTTCACCAAGTCCTTGAGCTTGCGCTCCTCCAAGTACTCCAGCATGTCCTCCTTAAGCTTCAGCACAATGCGCGTGCCACGCAGAATGGGCTCCGACGTGTCGGGCGTGACCGTAAACGAGCCACCAGCAGCCGATTCCCACACGTACTGCTCGTCGTCATTGTGCTTCGAGTGCACGACGACCTTGTCAGCCACCAGGTAGGCCGAGTAAAAGCCCACGCCAAACTGACCAATCATCGAAATGTCAGCGCCGGCAGCCAGGGCTTCCATGAACGCCTTGGTGCCTGACTTGGCGATCGTGCCCAAGTTGTTAATGAGGTCGGCCTTCGTCATGCCAATGCCCGAGTCCTGGATCGTGAGCGTCCCATTGGCCTTGTCCGGGATCACCTTGATCTCGAGGTTCTTGTCCGTGTCCAGCACCGACGCGTCTGTGAGCGACGAGTAGCGGATCTTGTCGAGCGCGTCGGACGCGTTCGAAATGAGCTCGCGCAGGAAAATGTCCTTGTTCGAGTAGAACGTGTTGATGATCAGACTCAGGAGCTGGTTGATGTCGGCCGAGAAGGCGAACGTCTCAGCTTCCGTGGTGGTGGTGCTCATGGCGGTGAGGGAATGGAAAGCGAGTTGTGGGCAATGCGGATGATTGGGAAATGACCGACAGCTGGGGACGACGGGCGTTGCAGGCCAGCCAAACGATGGGGGTGCCCAATTTAAAGCAGGCGATCTTTCTTGTTTTGGGACCCACGACCCAAGGCTTCGAAACTTCGATTCGTCGAAAGGCAGGGCGACAGGAGTGGTCGATACTGGAAAGACGCGAAAATGGGAGGGCAGACCTGTGAACGGCTTCGAATCTTCTAGATTGCGACAATCTCGTTCTTCGCCGGGGCGGTGTCCTACATTAAGTCTGACAGGTCAGTGAATCAACAATGACTGTGGAAAACCACGGGTCGGACAATATTCGGTTCTGCGTCGGGTCCGTCGCACGTGTGTCGAGTTCGGGTTGTCGATCTCGAAGCGCGAATGTTCGAGACGGAGACTAGAACCTCGACAAGGCAACGTTGAACCACCTGAGTCGCCACTTACCTCATGGGACTTTCTATGTCGGACAAGCAGGGGCAACGCGACGTTGTAGAGGTGAATCGACTCGACGCTCCCGTTCTGTCTAACTAGTCATATCACTATCAAGAAACTTCACTTTCTAGTCAAGGTCAACCTGCACCATTTGTTGCACGGAATAAAGTACAAGCCAAAAGCTGTTTCGTCCACCGTCCCTCTTCTATAGCTTAAAAGCTGAAGAAGCTCATTCATGCTGTAGCTTTAAATGCAATCGACACTGCCACCAATTCCCGCTGCAAGTGCCTGACACGGCCCGACATTTGTCCACATAGCTACTTAAAAATGGCTTCGCTTCTACTCTGCGTAGCCTCAAGGTATTTCGCCCCGCAATACTGAAACCAATCCAAACACACTTGCCGTCTCACGTCCTTGTACCGTTGCAACTGCAAGTGATCGCCCGACAAAAGTGGGGGGCGTGGCCCATCACGTCATTTCAAACCCGGCGTTCGATGACACGGAGGTGAGCAGCTTCGCGCGAAGCACCTTGTACGACGAGTAGGTGGGCAATTTCAATACGTTGAAACAAGTCGACGAGCTCGGCAGCAACTCGTCATCGCGTCGAATCGGGACCTTCTGCACGCAAAATTGAGGCGTGAGCGAGGCGAACCCAAGCGACGGCGCGCGCTGGCAACTCGTTGTGAAGCGCAAGAAAGCCGCTTGCTCGGAAGGTGTGAAGCTTGCGACTGCTTGCCACAGCCACGTCACCCGTTTATCGAGAGCATAGTAGCCGCCAGCATACCGGGTGTTGACCCGGAGATCCTCGACGTCGAGCTTGCCGCTCTTGCCCGAGATCAGCACCTGGAGCTCGGGCTCGTTGAACATCTGGAGCCAGCGCGGGTTGATGAGGTCGGATAGACCCGAGCGAAACGCTGAGCACTGTTCGCGCGTTTGGGTGTTGAGGTAGTAGTTCGCAACCAAGTGGATGTAGCGCGTCTTGTTTCGGTTCGTAACGGCCACGTTGCCTCCTCCTGGAATGATCTCAATCTCCTTTTGCTCCCCAAATGCATCTTGAACGACAGTGTGTGTCAGGCCAAGATCCTCGATATTACCATCGTACGACTTCAGAAACATCAGATTCTGCTCGACAGGAAACACACGTGCAGGTCAGATTGTTACATAACCATGATCGAACGGTTGTTGCAACATGTAGCACATGTACCTTATAAATTTCAGGGTCCAGGGATGGCAATTCGTTCAGCTGATTGAATGAATGCAGCAGCTTGGAAAGAAAAAAGTGCGCGAACTTTGGCTGCACCACAATGCCTTCATACAAAGCCTTTCCAAGTATCCGACCAACGAACTGGAATAGCGTCAGGTGATCGCTTTCGCGCGTGAAATGACTTGAGGCGGAGTTGGGGTTGGGATACAACAGCTCATCGTGGGTCGTCAAGAAAAGCCCGTATTGCAGATCAAATGCTAGAGTTGCCAGGTCTTCCCAAAACTCTTTGAACAGTCCTCCAGCATCGATGCCGACTTCTTCGCGACCGGCTGAGTTCACGAAAACCACATTAATTCGCTTTTTCAGGCTTGTGCAGATCGTATTTAGTTTCCTCAAACCGTCTTCCAGGACAGCATCACGACGGATGCGGATGCGGTACACTGAGCAACCTTGATTTTGGTGGATCTCTTTGTCAGCCTTGACTAAGCGCTGAAAGAGCTTAACTCGGTCAGGAAACGGCACAATGTACGGCATCGACTGGATCAGCTTGTTGGCTCGAGGCGTGCCTTGCAAAACTTCTTCTATGAGCTGATGACTATCGAGATCCGCAATAATCCTGCAACGTAGACTTTAGTCAGTACTGCTGTCAAGATGTCCTTTTGCCCCAGTACAACATACCAGCTCGAGACGTTGCAAAAAGGCCGACGAGAGCATCGACTGTACAGCACTCTCATTAAATGGGTACCCGCCTCAACGACAAACATACCGAATGTGACTGATTCCGAAGACGGAGTTAGATCACCATACGTCCAATATGCCTCATAAAGCGCATGTTTTAGGCTTAAAACAATACGCTCAATCTGGCAGAGGGGAAGCGGATATTCTTGCTCGTACATCTACAGAGCGCAATGGTCGCACGAAAATCAGTGAGCATGCCGAGAATCGATATGAAGCCATTGACACCAAGAAAAGGTAACTACATTCAGTGCTGTTGCACAGGCTTCTTACCTCTTCATCATCCACGACAACCAGAAGATGTTCGTAGCACATGAAAAATAGCGCCAACATACACAAATACGAATCTGAACTTCGAGCATGCAACAAATCCATATTCTACCACGATTGTTCATTACATTCTTGCCGGTAAACAAGATCGAAAAATAAAGACGTACCTTGATGAAGTCCTCAAACCTTTCGGTGTCTTGCAACACACACCACAGCATACGTACAAAGGATACGTTCTGAACACTCGCACCACTTTCAGCAACCTCGACATGATAGAAAGCCAGTGTGTTGAGTAGACGCATCGAGTAAGATCGCTGCCTCCAGCCATTGTTTCCCCATCGGAATAGGAATGTGCCACAAAGATACGATAAGGCCTTCACATTTTCCGGAAAAAACGACTGAGAGCATTCAGCTAGCTTCAAACTTCCAGCCCGCTGGATGTCCGTGGCCTCAGTCGGACAAACCACACCCTTTGCAGCCATTTGGCATGCCTCCTTAGTGGTGTTCCGGAGATCTGATGCTCCACCTACAAAGTCTTCGTTACTTCCCCGCCTTCGTCGTAGCCCAGCCTTTTCGAGTATACTTCGAGCCCAAGTGGCCTTCCCAATCGACTTCATCTTTTCCCATGTCACTGACAGCGAAACGGACAATGATGATGTTGACGCAATGTCGCCGAAACCAAATTGTTCCTGAAAAGCATACAATAACAAATTAGACAAAAATGCACTACGGCAAGTAGAGGTCGCACTTACCGCACTCGTAGGCGCCTCAGGATACATCGGTATTGGCCTTTGAGTTGCCAATGGAAAGCGAAGAGCACTCGGACAAAACGGAAGGAGATGGTTGCACATTGATCGCAAGTACTGATCGTTTACCAAAATCTGCAGCTGCTCATTTAATGCTTCCGGAAAAACCACGGGCACAGAATGAGAATCAGATACCTTCGTCCAGGTTACAGCTACTCCTGATGCAGCATATGTTGCGGGTGGTACGGATTGAAGCAATTTCGAGAGGAGCTGGACTTCCTTTAGCACAATGTGGTCCGTTTTATTCTCCACCCTGCGCGTCACACACTTATCAGATCATGATTGTTGCGCTGCGTACAAATCAACAAGACACAGGAACACCTTACCGGTCAGAAATCCATAGGACATTGCCCAGAAACCATGCCTCAGACGTAATCCCAGCAACAGGTGAAGCAGGAAAGTCAAACACTGACATGTGAAGTCCTGCACTGAGAAGTCTGTCCCATAACGACACGTTTGCAACTTTGAGCAGCCGGTCGACGCCAACCAACTGGTTCAAAATTGGCACTGAAAAGACCTGCTGAGTGCATGATTCACAAAGAAGACGTTGTCAGAATCGCACGACACGATCACGGTGTAATAATTACACTTACTTCCATTACAAACTGCTCAAGAATCCCGCTAGTTGTCTTGAGAAGATGCTCCGCAAAATCTACCAGAACGTTGCAATATCGAGACTCCTGTATACGATATGTGATAGGGAGATAGTTTCGTGCGCGAATCAACCCCTGTCGCACAATCTGCATCACTGGAGCGCTATCCAATTCACTGTACAGCATCTTTCGAGCTCGTTCCATCGGGTGAATCACGAGCAATTGGCCACACAGCAAGTATCGCTGCATCTCTGGTACCGCCTCTACTAAATACCGCACAGTCTTGAATCCCACTGAGACTTTTACGTCAGTGGACAACACCGAGTCACACTGCAGACACAAATCGATGAGTCGTCTCAAAAGCCAGTCTCTCTGCACCTCTCCTGCATCGTTGACCCCATCAGAAGAAGCAGAAAACGAGTCGGAAAATAGCGCACTAAGTCTCAGCAGCCTCTCGGCGTCTTCAGAGCTTCCCGTATAGAAAAACACCACTAAACGAAGCAGCTACAGCACGACGGGCAGTTAGTTCTCCCGTACATCTCGTCAGTAGCACCAATTAGCAGCATTCTTTTACTTCAAAAAGTGATCCATAAGGCAGCGCCATGTCATGCAGCTGCAAAATGACCTTCAACTGATCAATATCGCTCAATTTCTGATCGTATTCGACGCGCATCTGAGTCCGCAAGCGGCGAGCAGCGAGTCGTCCGCGGACAAACCTATGTATGTGCTGCGCTGCTATCTCCAGCTCCTGTCTTTGTATCCTTGCCTTCCTCCGCTCTCTCGCCAGATGCAGCACGCGTTTGCGATCGCTTTGGCCGCTTCTTTTGCCTCCACGGGCAAGCTCTTTGTCGCGCAGGAACATCTCGGCTTTGAACCTGATACTGGACACAGGAAGTGATGCCTCAATCTTGTCTTGACCAATGACAAACGACGATAATGTAGCCATGTTGAATTTGACTAATGGATGCACGATGCAGAGGGTGGGACGCTGGTCTATTCGCGACAAAAATAATCGAACAAGCCTTATTGCGCTCATTCATACCAGACACTCAAGCAGCGATCGAAGGACAAAAGTTGTATTCGAGTAATAATTGTCGTGATTAGAAATCGAGCAAAGATTTGCGTAGGTCCAGGATTGCTCAAATGTTGCGAACTGAGGATCTAAGTGATTTCACTCAGCGATTTAAGAAGCCATTAACACTAGATGTGATAGCACAAATTGATGTGCCAGTTCTGAGCTTACCCCGATTTCAACGCTGTCCGTGCCACGCTCCCAAATGCAACGTGCGTACGTCGTTAAGGTCATCCAGTCGACGAGAAGCATGCCAATAGTGTAACGGGGTACTTTATTACATGAAATTGACACCAAACGGTGTCAATGAGGAGATTGTCTAGCGTGACAATATTCTACCAATATTATCCGAGATGGATAATATTGAAGAATTTTTTTTTCCTTATAGGATAGTAATCATATAAGGATAGTAATCATGCACTGCTCAAAGATTGGTTAATAAAGACATATCAACCAAGGTCACCACCAATCGCTGCTAGACGCGCGTAATGAGTGGTGAGCAGGTTGTTGTCATACGACGATGTAGATTAACATAGTTGGATAACGATTAAAGTTACATTGATAGCTTAACTATAAAAAATGCAGTTCTCTTAACGCCCTTTACTTAATCGAGTCGTTTAAGTAGATTAGCTTCCTCTGCACGTACTAGTGTACATGAAGTTTCGTGGCACCTAAACAAAGGGTGCCCCGTTACACCTGGTAGCACTTTGAAGTCCGTCCAACGACTACTTAGTGTCCGTCCAACATGATCATGTTGGACGTAGAAGACGACAGCTTTCACGTCACACGTGAAGGCTACTCCCATCTGAGTGACTCAAAATGGGAGATAGTCTACCGCACGAGTGTGATTATGAGCGAGCCCGCCATCAGTGGCATGTTGGAGTCTCTAAGCAGAGACCAGCAACATGCCACTATCAACAAGTTCCTACAAGGGGAACTTGCCGTCGAAAGACAGAAGATAGCCTTGCTACAACAACAAGTGTAACGGGTCACCCTGAAGCTTTTACTGGTGACAGTATAAGCTACTTATTCTGATGACAGAATAAGGCGGTGCCTCGTAACTTCACGTACACTCGTACGTGCAGAGGAAGACGGTAAGAAGAAGCGAGTACTTGGTTAAAGTAAAAAGTAGAACTGTATTTATAATAGTTAATGTCTGCAATAAATCACTATTTATCTTCATCTAACTATGTCTAAATACAAATGTGTAACTCAACTATCTGCTCACCACTCATTGCGTGCGTCTGTCGTGGCGCGTCTTCGTTGGTTGATATAATGGCCTATATCAACCAATTAGGAACTCCTCGTAAGTGCTGCAGAATATTGTCCTCATGACAATATTCTGAGAATATAACTTTTATAGTTATAATCTATTAACAATTTCTTATAAATTGTTATGTAACGATTCGCCCCGTTACATCACCCCTCCCTTAACCATCGGTCACTTTAGTGACTGATTGACTAAATGGATACTCGTCGCAGATCATTTGGGACGGGGTTTGCACTTGTTGGTCCGAGTCCACTTCCCAACATTTCATCGCATGGTTAACAAGCCCATGCGATGCGCGAGCGAGGCCGCCGAGAGCGCGTCCGCACGTCTCTGTGCGGACGCCGAAGCAGAAACCACAGCAACTGATGCCTCATCGGTTGCTGAAGCGACCCAGCCTGTGTCACTTGGTGATGCAGGCGCTGGTCATGAAGACACTCATGTCTTCACAGAGTACGAGCTCGGTGTCTCGTACTCTCCTGATACGGAAGACGGATCCGTATCGACGGCGATCGAATCCAAGCCGCCTGCCAAGCGTGGCATGGATGATGCTTTGCGTCGTAGCATCTTTGGTTCATCTGATGAGTCAGATGAACCATCGCCAAGTGAAGGCGCTCGAGGTCGCGAGACTCGGGCGCTAACAGTGGTGTCGGTTCTCCTTCGGACACCACTTCGCAACGAGGTGCCAGTACTTCTGTCGGCACATCGCAGGAAGAGCGGGACCGCAATGTCTTGCGTCTCGCTCCCGAAAAAGAAGGCCTGGCTGCCTCCCAAATCAGTCATGGATCACTTGTCGGCGACGACGAGTGATCGTTATCGAACACGGTTGTTCGATTCGTCAAGGATCCATCACCTTGACCCCAGCGCGAAAAATTATCGCGCTGAGAATGAATTCTTCATCGATGCTTTCTTTAAGCATCGATGGAACAGTGGGAATCAAAAACTTGATGGTCCCTCACTGCTTCAGGCGTGGAACGCCTACATCCATAACCTTGATGATGTAGGTCGTGAAGCTTGGAACGACAAACTTATCAAAGCTCGTGATAAGTTTGAAAAGCGAACCCCGACAGGTGCACGCTATAAGCTGCATCGTCTGTTAAGGGAGAAGGGATTACCCTGCCTCTCTTGGGGAGACTCGTGCCCGTGTTGTGTGAACAACTCTGCACGAGCACCTAAGAAGGCTTACCTCCCTAATAGCCCGTGGTGGCGCGTACGTATCTCTATTGAGATGTACGAAGGGATTGACAACCTGAAATCCCTTTACGACCGTGCCGGGAAGACTTTCTCCGGCGGTCCTTCTGCGGCACAGGATGAGCAGCGTCGTACTGCTCAACCAGACCCAGTACGTCGATCATCAGTTGGGATCGGGGCTCCCAAGAATCCCAGGACGGGGGATAGCCGCGCCACCGGACGAGATAACTCGTCCGACGTCCGTTCACGTCGCGGTGGTTCAACAGCTACTCAACTAGATAGCGCTGGCCACCGCGAGAGTCCTCTAATGGAGGTGGAGGAGGAGGAAAGACGCTCTCCACACGATCATGGGGATCGGTGTGTTCCCGAGAGCTTCTTTGATCGCGTAACGCAAGGGTTACGCGACGATCTCGAACATGAGCGGAATAGGCGTCTCCAAATGGCGGACACTGCCTCGAAGCATCGAGCTGAGTTTGCCTTTGCTCAGCTTGAGAACGAGAGATCTCTGACATCTCTTCGTGACGAGCTAAGGGTAGCTCGTGGGATTGTTGATCGGTCTCGGGATGAGATAGCTGCTCTTCAGACCCTTGTTGATGGCCACCATCGGGAGCACAAGGCTGATGCTTGAGCGCAAGGGCGTTCTTCATCGGAAGAAGCAGCGTACTGATGGTACGGCTTAAGCCGACCAACGTAAAACGTGGGATGCGTTCGCATCTTATGTGGCAGTTAAATCATGTATGCATTGCCTAGGCGATACAATACACGAAATGGGCCGATGTACTTGGGTATAAGTTTACTACTACCCACGTTAGTCACTACATGCTTCGGTAGATTAACCGTATACAGTAGGACTAAGTCACCTTTATTAAATAAAAGAGTGTTTGCCCTTCCATTCTTGTCAGCGTTTTGCTTTTGCTTATCCACCGCTTCGGCGATGGAGTCTTGCACAAAACGGACTACCGTTTCACGAGCCAGTATGAACTCATCTGATGACTCGTTAGCTTCAGTGCGCTGTGAGTGCACTCCAGCAACGTCAATCTTTTCTGCAGTGAGGGCTTCCGCGCTCTCACTGGCATCATCTTCTTCGATATCGATGTTGTCGATATCAGCATCAAACGCAATGACCTCATCGTCAGAGCGTGATGAGCGTGGGCCAAATCGTTTATGCTCGCGCGAGTCCCTTCCCCCCTGAAACCAGAGTTACACTCTAGTAAGGTGGGTACACGCGGATGGCGCAAGCCATTCACGTAAAACGGTGTATGTGTCGTGGACGCATGCACCGAGTTGCTAATGGCAAACTCTACCATTGGCAAGAGCTCACTCCAACTCTTAAAGGAGTGTACGTATCCTCGAAGTATCTCTTCAAGGACACGATTGGCACGTTCCGTCTGACCATCTGATTCTGGATGATCAGATGTCGACATCTTCAAGCGCGTTCCGAGTAATTTGAACACGGAACGCCAGAAATCAGCAGTGAATCGTGGATCTCTGTCTGATACGAGTTCACGGGGCAACCCATGAAGTCGGAAGATGGTGTCAATAAACACACAAGCACAGCCACTTGCCGTGATTGTCTCTGGTACAGCCACAAGGTGTACCATTTTGCTGAATCTGTCAACAAATACGAGAATACCCGTATTCCCGCGTGCGTCTTTAGGTAACCCGAAGACGAAATCCATCGAGATGGACTGCCAGCACTCAGCCGGAACTGGTAGAGGCTGTAAAGGTGCACGCAGTGAAGGACTTGACTTTACTCGTTGACAGATTTCGCATGCGCGAACATACTTTCGCAAAAACTGATACTGGTGGGGCCAGTAAAAGTCTCGACTCACCGTGAGATATGTTTTCTCACGGCCACGATGTCCTCTTATAGGAGCATCGTGATACTCGAATATGATCCGCAAACGCAGATCAGTGATCATCTGGAATGACAACACGTGGTGTGTCACCAGTTAACGGCTGTATAATACAGTAAACTGTTGCGAGTAGTGTATCGATCTGATGCAGATCGATACGCAGACGATGATCGATTCAGCGATTCTCGAGATGGTTGTGAAAGATGTGTAATACATCAACGTCACAGATGTCACTTATCTTGGGCATATGCCCGCCTCACATCATCATGTAATGTCGAAGATGGTATTGAGGATGTCACAACCGCAACAGTGGGCTGTCTCACTGTTAGGTTTCACGAGTGGTTCAAAGTCGGGCCGACGTGAGAGTGCATCAGCAATGACATTAAGTCGTCCTGGTCTGTACTCTACCGGAGAAGTTGTATTCCGCAAAGAATGACAACCACCGCGCCATCTGTTGTGAGAAGGTGCGGGCTGTTTACTGCCGTGCGTAAAGACGCATGGTCAGTGTAAACGATGAAGGGTCTATCTCCTAATAGATAGAATCTGAACTTTCGCGAGTGCATACTTCATGGCAAGGAGTTCCTTGTCATGCACTGGATAGTTCCGCTCAGCTGGTTGCAGCTGACGCGACTGATAGCAGACGACGCGTTCAACGCCTTCTAGGTCGTACTGCATTAATGCACAGCCGATTGCAAAATCGCTGGCATCACAGACCACATGAAATGGCCTGTCCTGATCGGCTATTGCTAGGACTGGGGATTGTATCAAGCTCTGCTTGATACCCTCAAAGGAGCGCTGACATTCCGCGTTCCATAACCACCTCTCGTTCTTTTTCAACAAACGAGAGAGGTGCACAGTCATCTCGGCATAATTGCGTGAATACTTGTGCAAATACGCCGCTAGCCCAAGGAATTTTCGAAGACCTTTGACATCAACCGGCACGGGCCAGTCGGTGATCGCCTAGATCTTTTCGGGATCAGGACGTACCCCGTTATCACCGACGATGCACCCAAGAAGTGTTATTTCGCTTGCTGCAAATATACACTTCTTGAGGTTAGCATACAATTGATGCTTTCGCATGATTGTAAGAACCTGTCGGATGTGGTACCTGTGAACCTCAACGTCCGACTTTCCATCCATAGCTCGACTATGGATGAATACGTCATCGAAATAACTCGGCGCGAATTCTCGTACTGGTCTCAACAGATGCGATACACATCTGTTGAACGTGACAGGGGAATTACTAAGCCCTTGTGGCATTACTAGCCATTCCCAGAGCATGCCGCTAGGCGTGCTAACTGCGGTATAGGGTATATCCCGTTCTCGCATAAGGATTTGATAGAAGCCATCCATCAAATCCATGGACGAAAAGATGGTACTCTTTGACATACCATCAATGATTACGTCCTTCCTCGGTATCGGCGACTGAGCCGGTACCGTTGCAGCATTCAACTTGTTAAATGCATGCACTATCCGCCACCCTCCTGTTGCTTTTCGCACACAGAAAGTCGGAGAGCTATGTGGGGAAGTTGATTCCCTCACGTGGCCCGCAGCTAAACGATCGGCAAAGAACTTGTCTTTCGCAAGTACTTGTTCACGAGGCAGTGGCCACTGCTTCATGACACAGTATTTCGAGCCTGGTTTAAGCTCGACCTCGTGTCGAATACCTTTATCCTTCGGTAATTCGCACGGAACAGTTTCAGGGAATACATCCTTGAATTCAACCAAATCTTCATAAAGAGGATTTGTCTTGAGCGATTCCCACGATTGGGAGTCATATCGCTCAATTCGTGTCTTTTCATCTAGGACACTCTCGTCCATAGATGAACTACTGAGAACTCTCTCGTTCTCAGTAAACACTGTTGCTGACCTTATGTCGGTTACACACTCGTCGTCAGCGACGAGTATGCAGATCTGCTTGACTTTGCCACTACGCAGATCACGCAAGAACCTTTTATGCTCGAGCGCTGGCAACTGAGTGATCTTCGAAGTCAACTTCGGAGGCGCAATCAGATTAAGTGTATAAGCGCCTACACTTGATCCGTTATTGACTATGACATTCAATGTCTCTGTTATTTCCTGGGGACTTATTCCCTCAGGCTTCGAAGGACTTATTCCTTCGTCTTCCCGGGGACTTATTCCCTCAGGCCTCGAAGGACTTATTCCTTCGGCTTCCCGGGGACTTATTCCCGCGGGTTTCGGGGAACCCATTTCCGCCGTATTTGTAATCTTGGGACTTATTCCCTTAACTTCCTCTAGCTGGGGTTGCGCAACCACAGCGAGATCCTCTACGAAAGACTCTCCAGTCGATCTAGGATTATCGTTTCGCTTAACCTGAGCGATCGATTGTTTCTCTTCTAGATGGTCCCCGCTAAGGATACATCTTTGTCCCGGTCCACTCGACTTATTCGAGTGGTGGACCTTCGGCGCAGCCTGTGTTTCCTCACAGCCGCCGGAATCTTTGCTCCAAAGTGTAACCGTTTGTTATACTAAGGTTTTGTGCAGTCGTACTAACGACCGTACCACAAGTGAGGCCATCGCACTCACTCTTAGTACATCCACACGCTTGTGGACGCTCCAAAACGTTCATCAGATGGCCATCTGATGAACAAGCGGCAGGCATCGTTACTGTCCGATGTTGCCAGTTTACCCGTGGTTCGTACCTTCTGAGCCACGGTATTCCAAGGATGACATCAAATTTTTCATCCAAATCCAATACGATAAAGTCATCGTCATATTGGGTATCTTCTAGCGTATAGTGAATCTTCACTACACGCTTCATGACGGTTACGGATGCGCCTGTCGCAAGACGTACCGTCATCCTCGAAGGAGGTGTGTCACATTCAACAAACCTGAAATGACCATCTTCTAGCGATTGGCGTCGCACAAAATTGTTAGACGCCCCACAGTCGACTAGAGCTCGAAGGGACAACTTATTCGTCACTTCAAGTTTTAAGGTAATGAGCGAGATCTCATTACCTAGAGCAGCAACGCAAAACGTTTGCGTGTTGGGAGCAACCTTCATCAAGAGGCCTGAAAATTCTCTTGACGTTGCTGGACCAGTAGGGTGCTCCGCACATACTGATCCTGTCCGTTTTATGACGGTCCATCCCGTTGTTGCGTCTTTGCACCAACAGCGGACCCGCGTCCCTGCCCCTTTCTCATAGGTGGACGGTCACTACGCCCAGTGTTGCAAGACACTGGACGGGGGGCACTACACTCGTAAGCGTAGTGTCCTGTCTTTTGACATCTGTTGCATTTCTGCAACTTCTTGTAGTCTGTAGAGCGAGCCTTCTCGCTCTCTACATAACAGAGTTCCATCGGCTCTGGACCTCCGTTGTCATATCGTCTCGGTTGACGATATGATGTCGAGCTGGCGCGAGCCTGTCTCAGACTGAAGTCTTCCTGCTCCGCAATGGAAATGGGTTGTTCTAGTGAATCTAGTTCAAGCCGGAACAGGTGAGTCTTGACGGGACCATCCGCGAGACCCTGCATGAACACCGAAACCAACGTGTGTTCATCCACCGGATTGGAGCTTATACAACTCGTGAGATGTCGTATATGTTGCGCGTAAGCGTGCACATCACGCTTACCCTGCTTGAGCTTCAAGAGTTCGGTTCGAGCTCTGAACTCAGCTCTAGGCGGTTCAAACGTTTGTCTGAGCCGCGACTTGAAGACTTCCAACGACCCAAACGCATATGGGTCGTGCAACTTGAGCCCCAGTGCCCAAGTCTTGGCACGTCCTGCCAGATTTGACTGGGCAAATGCAACTTGCATATCCCCGTCGTCGATGCGACGCGCCCTTATGGCGTCATCCAATTCGACGAACCATCTCAAGAGGGAGTCCTCTTCGACTCCCCTATACTTGGAGATGTCAATCTTCAAGGTTTCGGGTCGACGCGAGTGCATCGACCCACCAGCAGCAGCCTGCTGCTGTCTCAACAGTGTAAACTGTTGAGCACCCTGTTCTCTCAACAACTCTGCTTGTTGAGAACCTTGTTGGTGAAGCAAGGCTACTTTCTCGCGTTCAGCGTCAAGTTCATTTTGAATGAACTTGGCGATAGTAGCATGTTGGGCATCTCTATTGAGAGCCTCTAGCATGACGCTAACAGCATGGATGCCCATGGTTGAACCCATTCGTTCAACCGCATCCCATTTGACATCGCTCAAATGGGAGTAGCCGTCACGCGTAGCGTGAAAGCTTTGGTCATCTTCATCATCCAACATATTCATGTTGGATGTGAACGCGGTCCTTGGACGGACTACGAAGTGCTACCAGGTGTAACGGGGCACCCTGAAGCTTGTACTGATGACAGTACATGCTACTTATTCTGATGACAGGATAAGGCGGTGCCTCGTAACTTCACGTACACTCGTACGTGCAGAGGAAGACGGTAAGAAGAAGCGAGTACTTGGTTAAAGTAAAAAGTAGAACTGTATTTATAATAGTTAATGTCTGCAATAAACCACTGTTTATCCTCATCTAACTATGTCTAAATACAAATGTGTAAATCAGTTATCTGCTCACCACTCATTGCGTGCGTCTGTCGTGGCGCGTCTTCGTTGGTTGATATACTGGCCTATATCAACCAATTGGGAACTACTCGTAAGTGCTGCAGAATATTGTCCTCATGACAATATTCTGAGAATATAACTTTTATAGTTATAATCTATTAACAATTTCTTATAAATTGTTTTGTAACGGTTCACCCCGTTACACCGACCACACGTTGGTGTACCCCTTCGAAACCTTATCATGCACCATATCTTCAGGACAGTTGCCGAACACGAGCAAGACGAGGATTAAGAGGGAACAGCGCTGTGGAGTGACGTCATGGAGCCATCGGTAATAGTCTGGGATGGCAGCGACAGGCACCCAGCAAAGATAAGGAACAGGACGTTAATGAGAACGCCCACAACGGGAACGACTTCGCCACTGGACACCAAGTAGACGAGCAGCTGACCCAGGAGCGTCTTCACGAGCATGGAGAGGGAGGTGCTGAGCCAATAGAGCACAGCCGTGCTGAAGGACCAGATGCCGAATGAAGGGAAGAAGATAATGATTGAGAGGAGATTGCTGTTAAAGACGTGGGAAATCTCGACGAACATAATGCCGAAGAAGTACCACAGAGTGTTGTATGCCGCAGTAGTAAACGGCTTGTTCTTGCAGGTTTAAGGGCAGACCAGCAACGTACGTCACGTATCCTAATACAATGGTTCTATGAAACTGATACCCACGCGTAACGGGGTAACGCGTTACATGAAATTGACACCAAATGGTGTCAGCAGGGATACTGTCTAGCGTGACAATATCTTACCAGAATTATCCGAGATGGATAATATTGAAGAATTTTTTTTTCCTTATAGGATAGTAATCTTATAAGGATAGTAATCATGCACTGCCCAAAGATTGGTTAATAAAGACATATCAACCAAGGTCACCAATCGCTGCTAGACGCGCGTAATGAGTGGTGAGCAGGTTGTTGTCATACGACGATGTAGATTAACATAGTTGGATAAAGATTAAAGTTACATTGATAGCTTAACTATAAAAAATGCAGTTCTCTTAACGCCCTTTACTTAATCGAGTCGTTTAAGTAGATTAGCTTCCTCTGCACGTACTAGTGTACATGAAGTTTCGTGGCACCTAAACAAAGGGTGCCCCGTTACACCTGGTAGCACTTTGAAGTCCCTCCAACGACTACTTAGTGTCCGTCCAACATGAGCATGTTAGACGTAGACGACAGATTACGACAGATTTCACGTCACACGTGAATGCTACTCCCATCTGAGTGACTCAGAATGGGAGGTAGTCGGCCGCATGAGTGTGTTCATGGGCGAGCCCGCCATCAGTGGCATGTTGGAGTTTCTAAGCAGAGACCAGCAACATGCTGCTATCAACGAGTTCCTACAAGGGGATCTTGCCGTCGAAAGACAGAAGATAGCCTTGCTACAACAGCAAGGCTCTCATCAGTCGATGGGCGGGCCGACACACATGCGTCGACCCGAGACCTTGAAGATTGATATCTCAAGGTACAAGGGAACCGATGAAGATTCCCTTTTGAGATTGTTCGTCGAGTTAGACGACGCCATCAGGGCCCATCACATCGAGGGTGACGAGATGCAAGTCACCTTCGCCCTGTCAAATTTGACAAGACGAGCAAAGACTTGGGCCTTAGGGCTCAAGCTTCACGAGCCAGACGTGTTTGATTCGTTAGGGATCTTCGGGTCTTAGCTCAAAGAGACGTTTGAGCCGCCAAGAGCCGAGTTGAGAGCGCGCTCTGTACTCCTGAGGCTCAAGCAAGGTAAGCGTGACGTGTACGCTTATGCACAGCACCTGCGCTTCCTTGCGAGTAGCGTCACGGAGAGCCCTGTTGATGATCACACGCTCATCAACGTGTTCATCTACGGACTTGTGGATGGGCCGGTGAAGACATACATGCTCCAAGAGGACTTCCATACGCTGGAAAGGGCGATAGCGTGTGCGGAACAAGAAGACTTTAGCCTGAGACAGTCTCAGGCTAACTCGTCCAACTATCGTCCGACGAGTCGACAGGAAACAGGAGGTCCCGAACCAATGGACATCATTAACATCGAGAGCGAGAACTCTCGCTCTCTGAGTCACAAGCGAACGGCAAGATGCCATCGTTATTAGAAGATCGGACCCGAAGCTCATGAGTGAATCGTTCCAAGCACCGCATCACGCCCAAAGACAGGACTTGATGACCGCCGTTGGCCAAAGAAAGGTCCAAGGCGCGGGTCCGACCATGTCGCTAAACCTCGACAGCAAATCGGACCGCCAAAAAACGGTCAGGGTCAGTAGGGGCGGAGCACCCTGCTGATCCAGCAACGTCAAGATAATTTACAGGGATTTTGACTAAGATTGCTCCCAACACACAGTCGCTGTGGGTTACTGCCCCTAGTGATGAGGTGTCACTCATAACTTTGAAGATCGAAGTGACAATTGGAATGTCACTTCGCGCCCTAGTTACTGTGGTGCGTCAAACAGTTTCATTCGACGCCAGTCGCTAGAAGATAGTAGACTCAACTATGTTGAGCGAGAGTTCCCTCCAACGAGGATGACGGTGTGCCTAGCTACAGCCACAACCGTAATATGAATAAACGTGTATTGGGAATCCTCTACACGCTAGAAGGCAAGCAGTACGATGACGTCTTCATTGTACTGGATTTATACGATAAATTTGATGTCATCCTCGGTCTGCCATGGCTTCGAAAATACCAGCCATGGATCAGCTGGCAGCATCGATCCGTGAAGATTCCTGCCGTTTGTTCATCAGATGGCCATCTGATAAACGTCTTGGAGCGTCCAAAGGCGTGTGGATGTACTACGAGTGAGTGCGGTGGCCTCACTTGTGGTACGATCGTTAGTATGACTGCACAAGATAATAGTGTAAAAGGCCACTACACTGTGAAACCAGCTTCCGGCACCTGTGTAGAGACACAAGCGACGCTGAAGGTTCACCACTCGAAGAGATTGAGTGGACTGGAACACGGATGCACACCAAGAAGGGTGCATGCAAGAAGACAACTTAGTGTTGTTCAGGATGATAAACATGTTACAGCGAGGTCGACTAACATAGAGTCGATCGTAGAGCAAGCCCGCTCGACTGAAAGAGAGTCAATCGAAGAGGACGTGACTGTGGTAGTACACCCACAGTCAGTACACGTATTGGAAGAAAGTTCCAGCGTTCCTGATAGTGATAACTCCCGAGAGAGTTATGTTGAGGGTGTGGATCCCCAACCGCCTGCGGATGTGTTTTCCCAGGAATCACCGAGACATCTAATGCCTTGGTGAATGACGGATCAAGTGTAGACGCTTACACACTTGATCTGGTTACACCTCCGAAGTCAATTTCGGAGGTAGTCAAGTTGCCAGCGCTAGAATCCAGAAGATTCTTGCGAGATCTGCGTAGTGACAAGATCAAGCAGATCTGCGTACTCGTCACAGAGGATTTGTTCGTCGCCGATATTCGGTCGGCACAAGTGTTTGCTGAGAACGAACGGGTTCTCAGTAGCTCATCTATGGACGAGAGTGTCCTCGATGAGAAGACTCGGATTGAGCGATACACGTCTCAATCTTGGGAGTCTTTCAAGACAAATCCTTTGTACAAGAATTTGGTTGAATTCAGGGATGTTTTCCTAAATTCATGCCATGCGAGTTGCCTAAGGACAAAGGCACTCGGCATGAAATCGAACCGAAACCCGGTTCGAAATACTGTGTCATGAAGCAGTGGCCACTGCCTCGTGAACAGGTCACAGCGATCGACAAATTCTATGCCGATTGCTTAGCGGCTGGTCGTGTGAGGGAATCAACATCCTCACACAGATCTCCGAGCTTCTGTGTGCGAAAGGCCACAGGAGGGTAACGGATAGTGCACGCGTTCAACAAATTAAACGCTGCAACGGTACCGGCTCAAACGCCGATCCCAAGGAAGGACGTCATCATTGATGGTACAGCAAAAGTGCCATTTTTGTCCGCAGATCTGATGAATGGATTCTATCAGATCCTCATGCGTGAACGGGACATCCTGTACACAGCAGTGAGCAACCTTAGTGTACATAGAATTAACGTCCGGAAGGTTCTTACACTTATGCGAGAGCACGAGTTGTTTGCGAACCTCAAGAAGTGTATATTCGCAGCGAACGAAATACCACTTCTTGGTTGCATCGTGGGTAAAAACGGCGAGCGCCCTGACCCAGAGAAGATCAAGGATATTAGCGACTGGCCTGTGCAGTGGAAGTAAAGGGACTTCAGAACGTTTTGGCTTAGCGGCGTACTTGCTTGAGCACTCGCGCGACTACGCCGAGATGACCGTTCATCTCTCTCGTCTGCTAAAGAAAAACGAGAGGTGGTCGTGGAATAATGAGTGTCAGCAATCCTTCGAAGGTATCAAAAAGAAGCTTGACACAATCGCCTGTGTTGGCAATCGCAGATCAGGACAGACAACTACATGTTCTCTGTGACGCCAGCAATTTTGCAATCGGCTGCGCGTTAATGCAGTAAGACTCAGACGGCGTTGAGCGCGTCGTCTGTTTTCAATTGCGTCAGCTGCAAGCAGCTGAGCATAATTACCCAGTGCATGACAAGGAGCTCCTAGCTATGAAATATGCACTGGCTAAATTGGGGTATATCTCGCAAGAGATAGGCCCTTCAGCGTTTATAACTACCATGCGTCGTTATGCACGGCCGTAAACAGTCCCACCTCTCGCAACGGATGGCGAGGTAGCTGTCTTTCTTCGCGGAGTACAACTCGAGTATAAACCAGGACGACTTAATGTCATCGCTGATGCTCTTTCGCGTCGGCCCTATTTCGATCCGATTACTCCCAACCCAACAGTAAGGGTGATCCCACTGTTGCAACACTATCAGCGAGTCTTCCGTATTCGAATTTGCTCGACGTCCTGCAGAAAGCATACGCAGAAGATGAGCCTCTTCTGCTGTTGATGGATTATGTATCCAATCCATGCAGTCAATCTTTGAAAAGCGTGTCGTTTCAATAACACGCTTCAACCGAACGGTATTCTGTTCGTGATGGACTGCTGTACTATACAGCAGCCAACGGACACACACCTCGTCTCGTCGTTCCCGCTCATATTGATTTGCAATTGCGCATCATGTATGAGTGTCACGATGCCTCTAACAAGTGGGCATCACGGTAGAGAAAAGACTTACCTCGCGGTAAGTCTTGACTTCTACTGGCCCCGCCAGTATGAATTGGTGCGCAAACACATTCGCGCTTGCGAAGCTGTAAACGGTGAAGCATAGTGCTTCATCCTGTGCACCCTTGCAGTCTCTACCAATTACGGCAGAGTGCTGACAGTCCGTATCGATGGACTTCGTCTTTGGGTTTCCCAAAGACGCTCACACGAATACCGGTATTCTTGCGTTATTTGATCGGTTCGGAAGGATGGTACATCTTGTTCCCGGAGTCAATCACACCCCAGGGCTGTGCTCGTGTCTTCATCGATACTACCTTCCGACTTCACGGTTTACCCCGTGAACTCGTGTCTGATACGGACCCCCGCTTCACAGCAAAGTTCTGGCGATCCGTTCAAGTGGAACACGTTTAAAATGTCGATTTCTGACCATCCAGAAACAGATGGTCAGACGGAACGCGTCAACCGCATCCAGAAGAGATACTTCGAGGGTACGTCCACTCGTTTACGAGTTGGAGTGAATTCTTGCCAATGGCGGAACTCACCATCAACAACAAGGTGCATGCGCCGAAAACGCATCTTCGTAAATGGCCTACGTTATACCCGTTTACCCACCTTTTTAGAGTATGACTCTAGTGGCAGGGGGGGCGGACTCGTTAAAAAACGATCTGTTTCTTTCTCATTTCACGCCGACAATGATGTCGACGTGAAGGATGACGATATCGATCACATCGACACCGACGCTGACAATGACGACGATGCTGGCATATTCAGCATCGCCAATGACCGCCAAAGTGAGGACGATGATACACTTACTGGTGAAGGCAACGTTCTTTCAGCAGTGCGCACGAAGCGCACTGCTGTTGACAAGGATGAATCAGCAGAGGAATTTCTGCTGACTCGCGAAGCGGTTGTCTGCTTCGTTCAAGACTCTATTGCAGATGCATTGGACAGACAGAAAAGAAACGCAGACAAACATGGGAGAGCAAATTTTCTCTCATTTGATGAAGGAGATTTAGTTTTACTATCCACAAACACGCTGTGACAAAAGTGAGCAGCAGTAAACTACTGCCCAAGTACATCGGTCCATTTCATGTGTTGCGCCGAATGGGCAACGCATACATTATTGAATCTCCCCGTGAGATTCGTGCGCATCCAACGTTTTACGTCGGTCTTCTCCGCCCGTACTATCAGTACGAGCCCGTTTTGAGAGGAGAAGAACACCTGTGCGGTCAAAGGCCGAGACCACCTTCGAGTGGTCCCGTTTCAAACGAGCCAGTCTGGTCGACTAGCGAAGCGACCTGCTCACTCAGTTGAGCGATGCCCTGACGAGCCGCAGTCAGCTCGTCACGAAGAGAACGAACCGGACGTTCGTTCTCAACTTGTGCAAACTCAAACGCGGCACGATCGTCCGAAAGATCGTGCGCTAAGGAATTGTAATTGTCCCTTACAATTTCATGAAGCTCATAACGCCGAGTCAGTTCATGAACCAGGTTATCGTGTGACTGTTCCGTTACACGTTTCAGTTCCTGACCATCAAGCTGATCCGACCCTCGA